TCCCCTATCTTTCCCGCCAGTCTCCATCCCAACCCCCCATCTTTCCCGTTCCTACCTGCCGGTCTCCATCCCTCACTCCCTGAGCCTCCTTCCTCACACTGTGTACCTCCCCTCTCCCTCCCCGAACCTCCTCCCGAAGTTCCCGCCGTCGAAGAAAGGACAAACCCGGAAGAGAGAGAGAGAGAGAGAGAGAGAGAGAGAGAGAGAGAGAGAGAGAGAGAGAGAGAGAGTGGCCTGCTTCTTGGACGTTGGCGGCGGCTGCCTGGTTCGTCAGCGAGGGCTGGACGTGGATGGCTGCGGGGCTGCAGGGGGGACGTGGATGGCGGCTTCCTTGTGGATGGCTGCGGGGATGCAGGGGGGACGTTACGGGTAGCAGAAGCGCGCCCGCGAGATTCAAAAACGGCCAGTTTGAAAGTGCTGGCCCTGCCTCCCGCCACCCCACCTGAGTCTGCACAGACTGTGGTGGGTCTGGCCTTGGACCAATGTCCGGTAGGGCGAAAAGACACACAAAAATCGGCCCAGTATTTTTCCGGGGCCGCCGAGGACCCGAATATTGTCCTTGGCAGCCCCTTTTTTTTTCTGATTTTTCGTTGGGGGGCCCGGTTCCGGACGTCCAGGACCGGACACCGGACCCCTACATAATGTTTGGGGGTGTCTGGAAACCGGTCCGGACGTCCGGTCGGTTACCATGCCGTGTAGTTGTCCCTTTTTTTTTCTTTTTCTCTTTTTGTGAACAAGCAAGACCATTTCAGATCCGCTAGCACTGGAGGAAGTTCTTTTTGTAATTGAAAAAAAAGGAGGGGGTGATAAGAGCAGCCCTTCCTGGTACATCATCCTTTGATGGTCACTCCATCTATTGGTGGGGAGTCTCACCTGCTGTAAACCGGGTGCAGCGTCCCATATGAACAGAAAAGTGTTTGGAACATCGTAGATCATCATGGCTCAATTTTGACTGATAGTATGGGTCTCTACTGACTGTGGAAGGTACCACCTCTTCACGCACTCCTTGGGCGCCACCAGAAACCCTTACTATCAGTCAAAATTGAGCCATGATGATCTACGACTGTGTAGTTGTCAATCTCGTGATCTGTCAGCTTTGAATCTGTTCAGCTACTAATTGTTGCTGTAGTGTGTTAACTGTTTGTTTTTGTTTTGTTCTCCGCCCCGCCTTTCGAAAAGGGGGTGTCCCCTAACCTTATTGTGTTGCCCTGATTATTAATTTATTATTAACCATGGTGATGCGCGGGATTCCACTTCATGACCTATTCATCAACAAATACAGTGTGTATGATTCCAATGGTTATGAATTGGAATCAGTTGCATGAACCAAAAAAACAGTTCATGAATATGGTGATGCGCGGGACTCCCACATGAACTGTTTTTTTTTTGGTTCCCTGTCAGTTGTTCAGTTGCCAACTTTGTTTTCTAACTTTTCTTCCATTTTGCTTAATTTTGACAATTGTAGCCTTGAGTTGATGTGAACATCATGGTAGGGAGTAAAATCTTCCTCTTCTGCCCCCCCCGTCCTTCTGTTCTATTTCCTTGCCCCCTCCTGTCTCATGCACCTCAACCATCTTCCCCCCCTCGCCCTCCTTCTATTCCCTTCCTCCCTCCCTCCTGACGTCAACCACCCAAAATACTTCATGGGGATTGCTACAGTACCTCATTGGAAAACGCACCGCGACAGTATTTGGAATGCATTGTCCTCCTGGTTGGAGGAGGATACTGTCTATAGCACATCTGCACAAATTAAGCAAAGGTTTAAAGTTTAAACCACCAGTACACGGCCCCAAGAAACTCGTCAGAGTCGTCACCTATGAAAGTATCAGAGGCTTGGCCTACCGGACCGCCGTGCCTGGCGGCGCCAGCCGGAAAACAAAAGAAGTGTGCCGCTGGCAGTTTGGAAAAGTTTGGCGCGCAGTAAGGCGCCTGCAGGCCTGGGTGTGCTGGTGGTTTATTAGAAAAAAAAATGAAATGGGAAAGGAATGCTGAAACAGTGGGGTGAGAGAAGGGGAGAAAATTACAAGTATCGCACAGCACTGGACGGAATAATCCTCTAGCTACAGCGGAAGGCTCCGGAATCCGTTCAAGGAAAAGTCAGAACCAACAGCGCATAGGCAATAATCTGTCAGTTGGTATTCGCTTGCACATATGTGGTATCTGATTCTGTTGAATACTGCAGAACACTGTACGTAATCATCAGTGGCACTCTTTAATCTCAAGGGCTTGTTGAGGTCCTGTATTGTTTTTTTCAACTTTTCTGCAATGTGTGTCCCACTCTACTCTCTAGTTGTGAAGAGGTTACTGACAGAGCAGAAGTTGGGAGGAACTGAAGGACACTCAAAATAGATGGGATTATAGGGTGGATTTTGCTTGCCAAGGAGGCTCTTCCTTTGGAGGAACCCCGGTAAGTTGCGGCAAGCGACAATTGCAGGGGTTGCGTTTTGCTGATGAACCTCGTTAATTAATGTGTGTTTGAAACAGACAGCCTCGGGCCGCACACGACATGGCAAGACCTGAAGGATTTTGGGAGAGAGGCGGGGAGCGTTGCCTATGCGGACGTGTACATGGAGCATGGTCGACTTCGGGGGTGAGACTCACGGGAATTCCAGGAGCGGCCAGGGATGGAATCTGTGCTGTGGTTGGAGCGGGGCAGGTCCAGGATGTGGCTGTGGATGGGAAAACTGGTCAAAGCTAGCAGGGCAAGGGGTTGCGGGGCATGGGGCAGGGAGCAGGTTCCCGGCGGGTGGTTGATCGTGTATTTGGGTGGGCATGGACTGCTGCACTTCAATACAAGTCGTGTCCCCATCCTCCTCCCCCATCCTCCCCCTCCCCCAAACCCCCCCAAACATCTCCCCAGATTCCTCGAACCTGGTCATTCCTCATCTGCCCGTCTACCAAAAGAGTTCTGCGTTGCATATCACATCAAAGCGAAAGGGATTTCATCACACTGAAGGGAAATGGATCAGATCAGATGGGATTGGATTTGTCACGACGACCACCATCATTGATATACCGGGGTGATGATACCATGGATGGATTCATGAACGAGACGGTCATGGACTCAAGTCAGGCTTCAAGGCCACTTCCTTCCTTAGCAGTGGCGGTGGGCCGCCAGCATTCCCATCGGGGAGTCCACGTTCTGTCTTATCCACAATCTGTTTGTTGTACTGCAGTCCTGCTGGGAGGCCAGAGAGGGCCAGTCTGAAAGAGCAAGCAAGTCCGGGCAGGGCAGGGTCAGGGCAGGGAAGGCCAGAGAAGCATGTGGCAGAGCATCAGCGTTGGGTTTGTGGCTATCTAACGGGGCCGGGGCTGGGGTCTGTCAGGGAAATACTTTTCGCGCAAGGCCACTTTCCCCATCTGGGGGTTCTTTCGAGGACCTCACCTGGCGGTTTTTCCTCTTTTGTGAGTGTTTTCCCCGTTTGGTGTAGATCAAGCATGAAACGAGGGCTGATATCATTGGGTAGGTGGGCGTCTGGGTGGGTTCGGGGGGGTCTTGTGGGGTTGTGGTGTCCGTGAAGACTCAAGAGTGATGCATGGAAGAATATGGGGACCCCATCCATGTTTGGGAAGCGGGGGAAGGGATGTTTGCCTTGTGTTTCATCCATTAACAAGGAACCAGCATAAGTCCGTCGAGGTTCTTAGACCTGCCCACACTGCAGCTAAACCAGTCTGCCTGAAGCTCCTGAATTTCTGACTTTTGATTGTGCTGAAGCATTCAGGCCTACAGTCTTCCCCCGAATACAACGCACGGTCATTATAGCCGAACTTGGTCCATCTTTCTGTCTAAATTCAGCTATAATGACCGTACGTTGTATTCGGGGGAAGACTGTAGCCATCCAATTGTCAATTGTCAATGCAGGTGCTTCAGCAAACTGCCCTTTTACACAAGGGGTAGTTGAGCAAGTTGACAGTATTCAAGTCAGCAGCTGCATGATGGCTCGGTCGTTGACTGCAAAGTCTTCTATGTTGGTAATTGTACACTCGTCAGAGAGTCGTCAGAATGGCATAGCCCCACGTTGGCGTTGTGGTTGTTCCCCTTTCCGATAATGACTGGTATGGCATGTGCACAAGCTGTGAATATTGATCATGTTAAAGGTGAAAAATACATGGGGATGAATTTGGACAAGGATGTAGCGACACATGCATGCATGCATACAGGAAGACTGAAAGCATGGCTGGATGATGAGTCAGGACTGATTGGATGAAGGTCGTCAAAGTCAGCAAGGTTTTCTAGGGACACATGCATACAGGAAGACTGAAAGCATGACTGGATGATGAGTCGTGACTGATTGGATGAAGGTCGTCAAAGTCAGCCAGGTGTGCGAGGTGTGTTTTCGGTTTCGATTCTTTTGAACTGTAGGGATGTGGGTGCACAATTTGCAAAGTGCTGGTTTTGTTCGTCTTTTTTTTCTTTTTTTTTTTGGGGTCTTTCTCTTCTTTGGTCTAGTCTTTGAATCTGTGGCTGTGGCTCGTTCTTTCTCTCGTTTGTTTAGCCATCGACTGTGGTCTTATTCCGGTTTGTGATGCTCTGGATGATTTTCTGTCCTGTTTTCCATTTGTCCGGTTTGCATGCGTCCTTCTGATCCTCGTCGATCTTTGCTACGCGTGTTAAGGGTACCATCACAGATGCGAGTCTTTTCGTCAAGCCTGATGCGCAATAGTGCCATAAAAACACCGCTTTTAATTCTAACCAGCCGTGCCTGATAGCAATGTAATGCCACAGACAGCTGAGGGTTCAAAAAGGGAGAGGTTGTTGCTATATGTGACGCAGTCGGCGGCAATTAGAAGGTCCATGCCATTATCGTCATCGTTATTATTGTCAGCATGGCATCTGAAATGAGGAGCTGGTTTGGGGTGCTATGGTAGTTACGCCGAACTACTATCTGAAATGAGCGCGTTTCCTTGGCGCTGTATGCCTGGTCGGTCCGTTATGAATGACCCTCATCCAAATGAGCAGTGAAACTTATCCCCACTTTGATAAAGCCTTAATAAATTGTAATGATCAGATTAGCGGAAAACCTTAGCTTGGGAAATAGGTGCTTTTCATACCGAAATCGACTCACTTCCCTATAGCACATCCCTTAGAGCAGGGGTATAGCATAGCCACTGTGAAGGAATACATATCATCAGTGGTGGGCATAGGATCCCTGGCGATAGTAATGTCATCATAGTGAGGGAGCTATTGCATAACCAGTATATAATAGCTGCTTGTTGCCTTGATCGTTCTCTTGTTTTTGTTAGCAAATATGATTGATGATGCCGGCGGCATAGCAGCGACAGTAAATTGTCAGTATAGTAGTTATATGCAGCCTCCTGACGAGTCGGTGAAACTCCAACGAAACAGTTTGTCACAGTCCCTCGTTTGTTGTCCTCTTCTCTCTCTCTGCCTACGGTTTACCGGGCAGTTCTGTTTGTGACGATATATATATTATTTTATTAGCACAATTTAGCAGTGATTTAGAGTGATTGTGCTGCAGTAGCCTCAGTGCGCTATGGGCACCCGTCTATCGGGCGATAGCCGCGATACGGAAGATACAAGACAATGATAACGCTGCTGTACTTCAAGGTGTGCACATGCCGTGTGTTTACTCTTCTGAGGGCATCTAGGGTTCATTCAACTTGTATTCTTGTATACTCTTAAACCATCAGTACATCTTGGCCTGCAGGTGCCTTCTGCACACCAAGCTTTTCCGATCCGCCAGCGGGACCCTTTTCCCCTTTTTTGGCTGGCGCCGCCAGCCATTTCGGTCCGGTAGGCCGAGCCTCCAAAATCTTTTCGAAGGTGACAAGTTTCTTTTTCAGCAAGGCTGGGGCCGTGTACTGGCGTTTTAAGCATTTGGGAATATGTGATCTAGAAGGATATATATCCTTCTATATATATATTTTTTTGGTGCGATACTGGCTCTGTGTCCATTCTGTGGAGTGTTAGTCCGTGACTCCGTGTATTACTTTCGTAGAAGGGTAGAAGGTTATTTATTATTTTTAATATTTTAATATTTAGGGGGGTTCAATGCATTGTGTATTGAGGTTTGTCTGGTTCTTGTGTCTTTCAGTCAAATGTCTAGTTGTGGCCTGTTTGGTGGGTGGGAGGTAAGGATGCTAGGATGAGATGATACTGCGTTTGATGAGGTGATTGATTTGCGGGCTTGCTCTTTTTTTTCCCTCTGTGGTTGATTGATTGACTGATTGATCATTTCATTTGGTTGGTTGACTGACACCCTGACTGAATTTATTGATTTTGATCGAATTTGATCAAATTTGATGAATTTTATTGATGGACGTTGTGGTTTGCAGAGTGATAGAGTATTCGACAAGAGACGGGGCTCGGACAGCCGTTAGGAAGCTCCACGGTGTACGTCTCCAAGGTGCCTATGTCAGTGTCAGAGAGGTAAGGCCACTCACATGGTCCATTGCTCTAGGGTGCGCACTGCTCACACCCTTTGTGAGTTATATCAGTCGGTGGTCCCCACATTATGAACCCATCAGCTAGAACATCTATGACCCCTCAATACCGCACGGCACCCAGAAATAGTACGACACCGAAAATATGACTAATACCCTAAACCCTACACCCTGATAAAACCTGACCCCTGTCCTAAAATCTACCTCGGCCCCGACACCCCCCCGACCTTCGCACTCTTACAACGTTCAGTCACGTTGTCGCAGTGGGAGACTTACACAGCCTAAAATATGACTAATACCCTAAACCCTACACCCTGATAAAACCTATCCTCTGTCCTAAAATCCACTGCGGAATCTATCCCTCAAATTATTTGAAGCATCTACCTAAGGCTTCCTCTCTCCTAAGTCCCCACACCATCCCTTATCCCCACAGCCCTCTCCACAATCTGTCTCTTATACACATCTAGATGTGTATAAGAGACAGCCACTGGCTCCATTCTATTCGTGGGGAGCAGCACGTGCTGGGAACCGGGCCCAGCGTCCCATTTCGAATTGTACAGATCATTGAGAACATTTGAGATCATTTAAGATACCGGGGCCATGACCCGGCTTCGGCTGAGAACAGTCTGTGAACACGATATGAATCAGAAAGCATGGGGCGGATCATGAATATCTAATGACCTATTAAGGAACTACTCATGCAATAGGTTACCACAGAGGTCCTACGAATGCTCACAGCCCTCAGGATCCCTAACAAGCCCTTCTAAGACTTTCCAACAGACTTACTCCCTGCTGAGCTCTTCCAGGCCTCACGCCCCCACCCTGCTGGGTTACAGGGCAACACAACTCGCCCCAGCTCCAACCAGCGTCGTCCCAGCAGCAACCCTTGGCTGTCCCTTGGGCTGCCCACCCCAAACCATCCCCAGATCTCTCTACCAGGCCTCACGCTCCTGCATCAGCAGGTTACAGGGCAACATCCCATCTTATACCATAGGAATAGCAATACCAGCGTCAAAAAGACAGAAGAACGCATCAGGCTCCAGCATTCACAGAGCCGGATGCAAGCAAGGGTCGACAGAGTGAAGCCTAACCGACAGCGGAATCAGCTCAGAGGAGAAGTCGAACCCGGCTTAGAGCCAGCTCAGAACATTGGAGACATTAGATAACTATTGGAGGGGGCTAACTTAGGCAGGCTTGAGCGGAGGTACATCCTTCCTTGCCGAAGCAATCGATGCCACCCTTCGGGTCTCCCAACCAGAATTGTGAGAAGCATACAAGTGTCTCATTGATGTAAATATTTGACTTGCGGGTGGAAAAGGAACCGGACTGACACTCCCCAGAATGGATATGGAGTCAGAATTGGTTGGTTGATTGGTTGGGTTGGTTGGGTTGGGTTGGTTTGGGTTGGGTTGGTGGGTTTGGTTGTTTGTTTGTTTGTAAACTACTAAACCTTCCAGCTGATGACACAGACTTAGGATCTGGGGAAAAATATTCAAAGGAGCTCTCAGACTGGCTTCCGATCGTAAGTGCAGTTGGTTTGGGGAACAGCCTGTTGCTGAGTGTATAGCATTATTATATAGCTCAGCTAGTCTTAATGTTCTGTCCTGATCAAGTTAATCAGGAGTAGTGCAAGTGCCGGAGAAACTGCGGTACTTTTCTGTTCATCTGCGCAGCTTGGCTGTTGAACCGAGGTTGATTTCCTGAGGTCAGAAGTCTTTTGAAACCCAAAGTTTCCTGTAGCGTCGTGGCACACTCTCAAATTTTTGAGATTCGAGAGTGGTGTGGGGAGGGCCCGAGGCCCTACTATGTAACAGGCTCGAGTTAGGGCTTTTATGTGTTCGAGGATGTTGGGCATCACATGGCATCGGCATTTAGGTTTGGTGTATTAGGCTGAGCATCCTTGCAACGCAAAATGCTAGACCCTAACCTGGGCACCAAATAGCATTTTACCGTCTAGGATTGTAGGGAAATCTACACGAGGGATGTGAGAGGGAACGCGTATTTCATGGGCACTTGGCGAATCTCACGAAAGTCTTTTAAGAAAGATGAACATCGTGCCTTTTTTTTCCTTCTTTTCTTTTCTTTTTTCTTCTTTTGTGCTTTTTAGGGGTTAGGGGTTAGGTGAATGTTCCCTGGTGAGTGAAACCGTGAAAGGCATGGTGCGGGTCAAGAACTATTAATCCACATGTACAGCGTTCAGAAAAAGAAATTTTGTTGCGTACAATAAGATTAGGGTCTATCCTCTTTTGTCTTTTTATTTTCTCAAAACCCGGGTTTAGAACATAGGTTGCCCTCCATTCACAACAGGGATGTAGTGATGACAGATCTCAGACTCGTTTGTGTGACAGATCTCAGACTCGTTCGTGCTGCGAAAGTAAGTGTGTTAGGCTGTTGGCCTAAAAGAATGTTCTAGATGGATAGAGCAATTCAAGAGCTGGAAGTCGGCCTGGCCGAGGGGGACTGGCTTCCCGACAGGAACATGGCGAGGGGGACTGGCTTCCCGACAGGAACATGACTACCAGAACTCCGGTTCAGATAACCAGATTACACAGTCAAAATGGGATACAAGATGCCGTTCAAGAAGACAAAAGACGCCGAGCCCATAATCACGCGCCGGGTTCACCCGGGGAGATAATTGACTTGGGCTTCCTGGTTGGTTGCAGAAGCAGCTGGGCGCTTTCCAGCTTGTGCCAGGTGTTAGGAGCCGGGGTACGGCTGCCGGCATAGAGCAGAGTTGAGCAGAGTGGGAAGGCTGGAATTCACTAGGGAGAATGTCCGGAGGCCGGGAATCGAACCCATAACTGTTAGCGTCCCATGCTGAGAAGGTGCATATATATGAAGGAAAATTGAGAGAAAATAAATAAATATTCAGCCTCCTGATGAACAGTTTGTCACAGCCCCTCGTTTGTTGTCCTCTTCTGTCCCTCCCTCTCTGCCTACGGTTTACCATCGGCAGCTCTGTTTGACGATATATTTGTCAGCTGTTCCCCGATGAGGAGAAGATGGCTTTTAAAAAAAAAAAAAAAAAAAAAAATTGAAGAAGAAGAAAAAGAAGATATGTTTCCAACTTTCCAATCCAAACTGATGGGCCCGGAAAGCCAGTCCGATCTCCCAAATCCGGTGGCAAAACTTCAAAACCATTTGCCCCGTTAAAATCGGGAGGCTCCAGTGGCTCATATCATACCCCACACTACCTGTCAACCAGTGGCTGCACATAGAAAGCAGACAAAACGACCCGACCCACGCAGCTCAGATTAATCGTGTACTATGCGCCGACAACGAACAAGAAGATATGGTACACTGCTTAGTGCGATCGATGCAGAGAGTCTACTGTGAACTGCGCTAGGGCCTCCTCACATTTGGGAACGCCAGTTTCAGTCCTCCGTCCCTCCCTGAACACGATATCCAACTCTTCGTCTATGGACTAACGTTCCCTCTCACGTCTGCAGGGCGGAAAGGGTCTGGTTCGGCATGAGCAAGAGAAGTGACTCTGTGACTCTGTGGATCATACATATTAGAAGGAGTGATGCAGCAGAACTGTGGACAACTCCGAGGGGGGCTGGTTAGGATACATTGCGGGTGGTCAATCCTTCCCTTGCGTGGGGAAGTAATCAATGCCCCCGCTTGCATACATATCATATCACTCATATTGTTTTGATTGATAAAGACCATTCACATCACAGCACATCATAGTTAGGGTTTCGTGTTTTGACTTCGAAATTTACATGATCACAGATCATCACACATATCACTCAAATATCACACATACATGGTAGGGTTTTCTTGGATCTCTATAGGGGTGCTGGACCCGTTTCCAGCTGATACTTTCAGATGCATGTACAGGGACGCTGGACCCAGTTTCCAGCAGACACATTCTCATACTTGTACAGGGACGCTGGACCCGATTTCCAGCAGGTGTAGCTCCCCACCAATAGATGGAGCCTTCGACGCCATGACCTACTTACCGGGGATGCT